TTTTTTAGGATTTTTTAAAAATTTATTTAGGATTTGATTAAGATTATTCTAGGATTTAATTAAAATTTGCCTAAGATTTGTCAAAGATTTGTCTTGGATTTGATTAGAATTTGTGTAGGATTTGATTAGGATTTTTCTAGGATTTGATTAGAGTTTTTCTAAAGTTTGATTTGGTTTTAATTAGGATTTACTTAGGATTTTTTTTATATTTTTTATCAATTTATTTGAAAATTTAATTGGACTTCATCAATGTTTGATTATGTTTGGTAAGCTTTAAATACAATTTATTTTTGATTCTATTAGAATTTTTAAGACTTGTTGTTGTAATTTTCTTTTACCTCCTACAACTAGGTGCCTACATTTTCAAGCAAGACTTCACATAATATGACATCATTTTGAGGTTAGTGTATGATTGTAGTAAAATCAATAGGATAGAAAAGAAAAGTAGTGGATAGAATAGCAAATGCTCAACTAAAGCGCATCATGGATCTTTCCATCTAAAGAAATCGAGTAGCTAGAGCAAAGACCAATTCTATAGCAAAAGCCATTATAAGAGCATTATCACGTAAGAGTGAGATTTTAGCTTGATTAATTTTATATTTGATTGGATTTAGAATCCACATGAAACTTGGTTAGGATTATGATAAAAAAATAAATTTAGATAAAGTAATTAATCAAGGATGGATTTAATTCAAATTAGATAATAACTTTGATAGATGAACTTAGATTAAGAATGGATGATAAATTATGAATGAATATTAGTAAGAATGGATAAATTTTTATTTATAGATGAGAATTATTCTTAGATGAATTTTTAACTTGAATGATAATTATTATTAGATAAAAAATTAAATTATATTATATTAAATTAAATAACATAAAATAAAATCATATAAAAAATTTTCTTTCAAAGATGTGGTTTTTTGAATTATTTAAGTAGCTTACATTATGGTGGTGGATTATATGAATGTGAATTTAATTAATTAGACAATTTAAGATCCTTGTAGTAAGAAGTAGGAGAAAATTTATTATAATCCATTCAAAAAATAATTAATAGTTGTGAATTAGAATAAATCACCTACTAGAGGGGATTAATTTAGTTCACAATTGGAAATATTATAAGATCTATTGAATACTAGTTAGTCAATGATTGAGTATTAGTAGAAGCATTAAACAATTAAATCGTTGTAAACTAGAATAGATTTTCAACTAATAGAAGTTTATTTTAATTCATAGTATACATATCAATTTCCACCTTTAAATAGATCAAAGCAGTGCTTTCCAATTATATATAGAGAGTAGCCATGGGCAACAAGACTAGAACCAAAGTGACTTAAAAAACAATAATACAACCTACAGTAGTAGGAAGATTCAAAATATTGGATCCTCAAATACAAACTGAAGCATTAATGACTAAATTATTCATTTGAAGAATGAAGTCAGGATTTGAATCTTAGAAGCTCTTTATCTAATACAAAGTGGAGAGATCAAGAGTCATGGATTCGAAGAGGTGACCACCAAATATCTATTATATCATGCATATCTGCATGGCGTCCTTAAGTTCTACACTACTGTAAAAAATAATCATCAAGGCATGGACCAAAACTAGAATAGGTATCAACAAATGCAACCATCGACACTAACAAAAATCTTGAAGCAACCAATATTTGACAACCCACTCTTTTTCCACCTTAATGGAGAACAAATAGGATCACAATTCAACTTTCACAACCTGGGCCATCAACAACACATTCTCAATAAATAAAAATGTCTGGCAAAAAGAAACAAGAAGATGGCAAACCAAGGAAGAACTTGCAACATATATCAAATTCAAAACAATGAGTACATAATACATTCTAATCCGCAACTGTTTTTCCAATTGTAACTTCACCAATAATCCCTTCTTACAAGCAAGAGACTAGATTACTATGCAATCACAAAGACCAATCTCTATGGTTTCTCACTTGCAATCTAAATGGAATGGCATATAAAAAACAAAAAAATATCATAAGGCAGTGACAAACAAACTAATCAAATAGAGTAGAAAAACCTTTATATTGGTCTACACACTAGAGCAGATCTATGTAATTATATCCTGTGGCCACATAGACAAAATATTAGAATACAACCCGACAAACCCACTAGTAGAGGAATACAAAATTTGGCTATATGGAAACTCCCCGATAGTTAACCTAGCTTGAGATTCGAAAGATTGAGAATGAAAGAAGACGAGCACTCTTAAGCAAGTAAAATTCTTTGAATATACTACAAAGTATAGGTACAAGATAAGACTGACGACACACATCAACACGATGCAAGGAATCATTTAGCTATAAACCAAAGGATACGGTAATCAAAAAGTCAAACAAAGCATACAAAGAATATGACATGCTTGGATTTCGAGGCAAACTTCCACCATAATTTGATAAACTATGGCTAATAATTTATTCATATGAACATAGTGCACCAAGAACGAGTGGGATAGCACGTGCAAATCATGTACAACTCCAAGGGTTGAAACAATAATACACGCATTCTATATAAGCCCACAAGTAGCCAAAGCATAGAACAGATTAATAACACTCAGAAGATTGGTATGCTTACTTGAATCATACATAACTTGGCTAACAATCCTCCTCGGCATCACCAACATCGCAAGCAAAAAAACCATTGAAATCCAAAAATCTTCAGACAATGCAAAAAAAAATCAAGATATCAAACTACAGAGCTTGAGATGTACTAAGATGCAATCTATTATAGAACATATGGATGGCTAAATGTGTGCAAAAACTCAACTAATAAAGATTTAGCCTTGACAAAGTCCTCCATCATGCTTGAAAGACTACAATTCAGGTAGGCATGGACATCTGAAAAGAAATCTTCCAATACAAACATAGTTTGCAGACGATAGATGAGATGATAGGAATGTTCATGAACATCTAGTTAAAACAAAATAACTTTGCCACACAAGGATACCAACCCACATAGAAGTCTACTCCACTCCAGGTCTTCTTCCTCCAACATCTTGCCACATATGATACAATTGCACCTACTTTACAAATATGGAGAAGCCTAACATCCTTCAAAGACTCTCAAAATTTTGATCAATGATAGCTAATCAGAGAAGGAAGCAATAGCCATACAAAGATACTTGACATTACCATCAATGCATTATTTACAAAAACTTGGAAGGAAATTGAGGGACAAGACATTGATAACAAAACTGATCCCGCATAAAGAAATATAACACAAGACCCAGTTCAAGATACCTAAGTAATAATAGACCTAGGAACAAGCTCAATACTAGCAATACCACAAGATGAAAATGATATACATTCTACTATTATAAATAAAAAAGTAAATGTTATAAAAGACTCTACAAAGCCTAACATTGTAAATTAAGAAAAAAAATACTTTAGAATATTTGGAAGACAACCACAGCCACTAGTCCTTCTTAACTTTGCATGCTAATCAATGCAATACAAGAGAGGATGTCCACATATAACAACCTGAGTGGCACCAACAATTACTTGCCCAAGTCAATACAAGCTTCACTACTATGGACTTGACTAGATAATTCAGCCCCAATGCAACCAATTTCTTTGACAAGGCACTACAAAACAAGATAGATGATTTACTTGTACAAGCTCAATAAAATACTAAAAAAAATAAAAATAAAAGAACAAAATTAGAGAAAAATCATGTACACGAACTCACAAATCTTTTAGCGTATATCCAAGAAGATTCAAAAATAATAATACGATCATGTCAACCAATTTAGGGTAGTAGCAAAGCCTTTGGAGGTGTATAAAACGATGGCTAAAAACTTCCAGGGCAAAAAGTACCAAAGATGGATGGAAGATGGACTATGCTACTTTAATCTAGATAATCGACACCTTTGATAAAGGACTGACATCAATGGATGCAAACCCTGCCAATGGCTATGTAAATAAGTCCTCAAGTATGTGAATCCGAAATTTTTACAAAGTTAATCTCGATGGGATCTTCTTTGAATGATTCTTGCTTAAGATGTCGATTTGGCATTTGAAACTTTGTTTTTAATCATTATAGAATGGGAATAATCTCGTAAAAAAACATGGCAAGTAGGATTCTTCAATTACTTTGTATATTGTGATTCTAGATTTAATTTTTCCATGTTTGTTAGTTGTTAGTTTGTCAACAAGCTCCTTTTTGCAACACTTGACCATTAGTTCTCACTTTACTACTTAATTCTATCGTAAAATTCCTACCTTCCTCCACGCAATATTGTGTTCAGCACATCAATAGAATAAGTATAACAAAAGAAAATGAAACAAGATGCAAAAGAAAAGTGAAGAGGCTAAATAAGTCATGTACACAAAGACACATTGCAAGGTCATTCAGAATAGAAATGAGATGTATATTTTACTCTTCAATGTAAAGGGACAACACACAACTTTTAAAAACGATTCTGCCCACAAGTACCTACAAATGAAGCAAATGTATCAAAACTACTCACTTTCTGACACACAATTGTTGTCGATTTACTGTATCTATGTTTTAAGTAATACTAACTTTCATTCGTTTGCACTAAAATTTTGAAACATAGACATGTAAACATATTCACAAAGACTGCAGTTTCAGGAATATTCTCACACAAAAACAAATTGAGAAACACGATGCAAATTATGCTTTGAATGCTGCTTATACCCTCATCCAATGCTATCTTTATTCATTTTACCATACAAACCTTATTTAATGACATATTATTTAATGTATTTAATGACATGACACAATTTTTTTTAATAGAACCACTAGTTGTACCCCTGCTTCAAGAACAAGAATAATAGGATGTTCGTCTCAAAGCTTCATTTCAGATACATTACTTAACAGCGCACATACAATACACTCGCACAATGAATGGTTGTAGAACATGGTTGAGCCAATCCCAGTGAGTGCATTCCTGTTCCCTTTCTTTCGAAAACAATGTCACACAAAACCATGGTACACGAATCCAAACATACAGTCAAAAAGTGCTTAAACGATGAAGCATTCAAAACTTACTTTATTACAAAACATATGTCACTGTTGCGATTCAACAACAGCACCGACACTTTCACCGACTGGATGACATGCGATGCGGCGTGAGGCCCGGCACACGATCCGGCGATGCGGGAAGTCTACAGAAATTTCTAGAGAGATTACAAAGAAGAGCAGCGGTACACTGAGAGAACATTTATTCTGGTCGCCGAATTTGAATACTACGAGCTTATGACGGCGTCGGTGTGAAGGACATACATGCATTGAGGTGGGTGTGGCGGCATCATCGACATCGAACTGGTGCTCCTGGTTTGATGGATTTCACAGAGCTCGGTATCAGTACACAGTGTGCACGAGGTGTGCACGAGCATCGTGGACTTGCGTCCGGCGCCTGCGATGCATCAACGGAGCCGTGATCGACGTGAGCCGTGTGGATTCCCGCATCAGTAGCTGGGGACGCAGCATTTCTTGTAGCTGTCGAACTTGGTCCCCTTCTTGCAGCCCTGCCCACACTGGCCGTTGCTGCAGGTGGCTTCTCCGTCCTTGTAGCTGGGCGTGGGGCATTTCTTCCCGCAGCCTCCGCAGTTGTAGACGTCCTTGCCGGTGTCCTTCTCGCACCCGTTGCTCCAATCTCCGTCGCAATTCGCCCATCCGGGCTTGCAGGTGTTCTGGCAGCTGCCGCCATTGCACGAGGTGGTAGCATACGGGACGCTCTTGCACACCTTGCCGCATCCGCCGCAGTTGTTCAGATCCTTACCGGTATCGGTCTCGCAGCCGTTCATCCAGTTGCTGTCGCAATTGGCCCACCCGGGCTTGCAAGTGTACAAGCATTTGCCGTTGGAGCACTGGGTGGTGGCGTAGGCGACGTCTTTGCACTTCTGGCCGCAGGCACCGCAGTTGCTTACGTCCTTCCCGGTGTCGGTCTCGCAGCCATTGTCCCAGCTGCCGTCGCAATTGGCCCAGCCGGGCTTGCAGGAGTACTGGCACTTGCCATTGGAGCACTGGGAAATCGCATAGGGGACATCCTTGCACTTCTGGCCACAGGCACCGCAGTTGTTGGCGTCCTTTCCGGTGTCGGTCTCGCAGCCATTCTTCCAGTCATAGTCGCAGTTGGCCCATCCAGGCTTGCAGGAGTAGTCGCATTTGCCGTTGTTGCACTTGGTGAAGGCGTAGGCAGGAGCTACGCACTTCTTGCCACAGTCCCCGCAATTGTTGGGGTCGTTCGAGATGCAGGTCTCACAGCCGGGCTTGTAGCTGTCGCAGTCCTTGTAGCCGGAGGGGCATGTTGGATAGGTCGCATCTGCAGAACCTGCACAACACCAGTGGTGCTAATCAGAACAGAGCGCGCATACAATGCGTCAATGCATGTGGATCCAGGACACACACTGGCAACTTACGAAACATCCACTGCGAGAGAAGACACCAATCACTACAGTACGCAAACTGTTGCCTGGATATGTGAATTGAACCCATGAATGTATGCACACTATGGTGCTATGCGCGACTCATAGCTGCACCATGTTTCACGATGAATAGTTTCACCATGATTCACGGAGCAGTCGAAGTGAGGGTGGGGCAGGATTGAGAGGTAGAGGTCAGGATCCGCAAGCTACCGGCTGTGAAGAGCAGCGCCAGAGCGGCAGCTGCGACCACCAGGGTCGCATATCGCCAGACCGAAGCAGCGGAGCGTGTCGACATGTTGATCGCAAGGGGTCAGAAGAGGAGCCACTGCAACCGGAGTGGGAGGAGGCAGATTCACGGTGCCACGGCTGTGCTGTGAATGCGGCTCAGAGCGGAATGGAAGTCGATGATCGGCAAGTCCTGGGGTGTTGCTTATATAATGGAGACTATGACTGACAGCCCATGGCAACTCTGCACCTTTGTATGAGATAAATGAAATTATGAACAGAGCGATTCTTTTGCCTTTGGTTGAGCAGTCGTAGAGGATTTAGGCAGAACTCTTGGACACATTCAGTACTCGCCTTCGGTAGAATCGTCAATATTCACAGTTCGATGATAGGACTCTATTCAGTTGCTTTTTGGTCCAGTAATAATACATTTTTGCTCTAAAAGTTTTCCTACGTGATGTTTGTCGACAAACAATTCGATCTGATTCGTTGCACTTGTGAATTATAGCTCGTTATTATTTACCCGACAATCTATGACAAATGTAATGAGATCCTCTGTAATCATCAAATTGCTTCTTTGGAACCTCATTGAAACGGGAAGTTGATCACAAGTTAAAAGCATGTTAGCGCAGACTTTATTCGTTGATAAGAATCTTGGACGGTCATGGAGCTGGGCTGGCTTTTTCGATCGGAAGTGGGATTTGTCTCGATTTCAGAACAAGTTTGGAAGATGTGAAAAGCTAGTGATCCTAACTTGTTCTGAGTTGATATTTTTGGCGTTTGTACTAGGAATCGACTCGGGATGTACATATGGCTCGACTAGTCAACACACAGTCAATTGTTGACTGATCCGTAGACGCGGAGAAAAGACTATGTGGTCAACAGGGTGCCAGATTTCGTTCTTGAATACTTGAACGCCTGGCAGAGGATGACAAATCTCTCTTATGCAGAAGCTACTTGGGAGTTTCATCTTACCGTGAACGATGTTCCTACTTGTGTGCACTGACAGTGTGCAATACTACGACGATTTCTTCTGTGAATATTTAACATTCCTCCCCTTCGCTCCACACATCCACCGACGTCCCTCAATTAGATCGCCAGCAATGTGTATAATTGCCCAAGCTGGAGACGTTGATTGTTCTGCAGATATTTATCACTGAACTTGGATGATTCCAAACAGCTGAACATACTGTTTTATTACTTTAGAATTTCAAGACAAAATTGATGTTTAATGTGATTCCGTTTCAAACCATAAGTTGGTGGTGTATTGTGATACTAAACAATGGAACGAAAGATTTCGCTCTTAATGGGTCCGGCGCACTTGGTTAACCCCATTTGATCTGGTAATATTGGACTGGTGCACCTAATATCACTCCATACTTCATGTTTAATCCTACTAGCGAAGAAACTATTCAAACTACTGAGCAACCGTTAAAACCCAGACTTAATAAATAATTCATAACATCTAAAAGATCGATGCATTCTCTGCAAGTCCTGATTTCACCCAAAATTTTGCCTATTGGCAGACTATTGATTCTAAGGTGACTTAACTAGAGCAGCATACTCTCAAAACCCCATGAGTGCTAAGTTCACATCAGCAAGAATTAGAAGTAACGCAGGTGTACAGGGTTCCGAGCTAAGGCTTGTGTTAGTGCTTGTTAACCTTCCTGCCAATACTCACACGACCTCGTCATAAATGAGAGAGACCAGAATCCATTGTACTTCAGCCGCGTCGGGGTTGATTTTCTCTACCATTTTTAGGGAGTTACCAGCAAAACTTGACGGTGAGCTCTAGCGGTTTTAATAAGCATTAGTGAAACCAGTAAAACGATGCATTGACCTCAAGTGGTAGGTAGGTTCCCATATGTATTCAATGTGCCTCAATCTCCTATCAGCATCACTGCAGGAAAATGTCAGTATTGAGCAGGATTGGGAAGCTTTGCCCAGAGCGACGTCAGCAGTGTAATCTGCCAGCAATGAGAATTCCCACATGATCCTCTTGGTGATAGCCATTATGTAATTCAAGTCAGCTCCATGGCAGTACTTTTGACTTCTAAACCCACAATCCCAAAAGTCTCATCAGAGAGGTAGCGAGGTCAGTTTTAAGCTCTGGATTTTAGAGCCGCGTTCACATGTCTATTACTCAGTCCATGGACATTATTGAGTCTTGCTAAGATTGAGCTGGGACACGACAGTAATCAAAATGGGGGCTGCTGTCAGATAGGTATCAGACACGGTGAGCAGTGTTCACTTCCCGGTCTGCGTAGTGGAGGGATAACGGGTCAGAATGTTTTCCGCAGATAACCCTGCCCGGCATGCAACTGCAAACCATCTTCCATTTGTCGTGGAACTTCATTTCCTCTTTTTTCCGTCTCTGCGATCAGCGATCACTGCCAGACAGAGCTCAGACACGGAGTTCAGACAAGGCTCCAATATTGGTACATGCAGTTGACAATCCCGCCATAAGAACGGAAGGAGGGTTCAAACTGTGTTGCCGATTCGTCCAAATTCACGAGCGGAAAAAACCAATTTTTATAATATTTAAGAAGGATGGACTTGGACAGAATCAAGTGGGCTGCGTTCAGTGTTTAACCATGGGTTCAAAACAATTCCGCTCAACGTATTGCTCAAACCCTGATCAAGGCTTTGTGTATACCTAGCATTTCATCGTAATTACACATATTCATTTCATTTAGAGTGATTGAGATTTGGATTAGAATTTTTCTAAATTTTAGGAAGTCGATTGTGGTACACAACAGATGAGACCTCTTGGATGGCTTACAAGTCTTCCAAATTAATACAAAAATAGTTTGATCTTAACATACTCTAGACAACTACATATATACCAAAAGAAGAAATTAGTATGAGCATGATACTCGATATTCTGACGAGAGTTTGAAGGTAGATGGTAAGATAATAAAACAAATCGATTTGTGGTAAAGACACTCTTAAGCATCTATGTAATTGACTAGTCGAGTCATATGTACATCCCGAGTCGATTCCTAGTACAAACGCCAAAAATATCAACTCAGAACAAGTTAGGATCACTAGCTTTTCACATCTTCCAAACTTGTTCTGAAATCGAGACAAATCCCACTTCCGATCGAAAAAGCCAGCCCAGCTCCATGACCGTCCAAGATTCTTATCAACGAATAAAGTCTGCGCTAACATGCTTTTAACTTGTGATCAACTTCCCGTTTCAATGAGGTTCCAAAGAAGCAATTTGATGATTACAGAGGATCTCATTACATTTGTCATAGATTGTCGGGTAAATAATAACGAGCTATAATTCACAAGTGCAACGAATCAGATCGAATTGTTTGTCGACAAACATCACGTAGGAAAACTTTTAGAGCAAAAATGTATTATTACTGGACCAAAAAGCAACTGAATAGAGTCCTATCATCGAACTGTGAATATTGACGATTCTACCGAAGGCGAGTACTGAATGTGTCCAAGAGTTCTGCCTAAATCCTCTACGACTGCTCAACCAAAGGCAAAAGAATCGCTCTGTTCATAATTTCATTTATCTCATACAAAGGTGCAGAGTTGCCATGGGCTGTCAGTCATAGTCTCCATTATATAAGCAACACCCCAGGACTTGCCGATCATCGACTTCCATTCCGCTCTGAGCCGCATTCACAGCACAGCCGTGGCACCGTGAATCTGCCTCCTCCCACTCCGGTTGCAGTGGCTCCTCTTCTGACCCCTTGCGATCAACATGTCGACACGCTCCGCTGCTTCGGTCTGGCGATATGCGACCCTGGTGGTCGCAGCTGCCGCTCTGGCGCTGCTCTTCACAGCCGGTAGCTTGCGGATCCTGACCTCTACCTCTCAATCCTGCCCCACCCTCACTTCGACTGCTCCGTGAATCATGGTGAAACTATTCATCGTGAAACATGGTGCAGCTATGAGTCGCGCATAGCACCATAGTGTGCATACATTCATGGGTTCAATTCACATATCCAGGCAACAGTTTGCGTACTGTAGTGATTGGTGTCTTCTCTCGCAGTGGATGTTTCGTAAGTTGCCAGTGTGTGTCCTGGATCCACATGCATTGACGCATTGTATGCGCGCTCTGTTCTGATTAGCACCACTGGTGTTGTGCAGGTTCTGCAGATGCGACCTATCCAACATGCCCCTCCGGCTACAAGGACTGCGACAGCTACAAGCCCGGCTGTGAGACCTGCATCTCGAACGACCCCAACAATTGCGGGGACTGTGGCAAGAAGTGCGTAGCTCCTGCCTACGCCTTCACCAAGTGCAACAACGGCAAATGCGACTACTCCTGCAAGCCTGGATGGGCCAACTGCGACTATGACTGGAAGAATGGCTGCGAGACCGACACCGGAAAGGACGCCAACAACTGCGGTGCCTGTGGCCAGAAGTGCAAGGATGTCCCCTATGCGATTTCCCAGTGCTCCAATGGCAAGTGCCAGTACTCCTGCAAGCCCGGCTGGGCCAATTGCGACGGCAGCTGGGACAATGGCTGCGAGACCGACACCGGGAAGGACGTAAGCAACTGCGGTGCCTGCGGCCAGAAGTGCAAAGACGTCGCCTACGCCACCACCCAGTGCTCCAACGGCAAATGCTTGTACACTTGCAAGCCCGGGTGGGCCAATTGCGACAGCAACTGGATGAACGGCTGCGAGACCGATACCGGTAAGGATCTGAACAACTGCGGCGGATGCGGCAAGGTGTGCAAGAGCGTCCCGTATGCTACCACCTCGTGCAATGGCGGCAGCTGCCAGAACACCTGCAAGCCCGGATGGGCGAATTGCGACGGAGATTGGAGCAACGGGTGCGAGAAGGACACCGGCAAGGACGTCTACAACTGCGGAGGCTGCGGGAAGAAATGCCCCACGCCCAGCTACAAGGACGGAGAAGCCACCTGCAGCAACGGCCAGTGTGGGCAGGGCTGCAAGAAGGGGACCAAGTTCGACAGCTACAAGAAATGCTGCGTCCCCAGCTACTGATGCGGGAATCCACACGGCTCACGTCGATCACGGCTCCGTTGATGCATCGCAGGCGCCGGACGCAAGTCCACGATGCTCGTGCACACCTCGTGCACACTGTGTACTGATACCGAGCTCTGTGAAATCCATCAAACCAGGAGCACCAGTTCGATGTCGATGATGCCGCCACACCCACCTCAATGCATGTATGTCCTTCACACCGACGCCGTCATAAGCTCGTAGTATTCAAATTCGGCGACCAGAATAAATGTTCTCTCAGTGTACCGCTGCTCTTCTTTGTAATCTCTCTAGAAATTTCTGTA